GGAAGTCGTGCCAATGGTACCTTGAGGAAAAGGGACAAGTAGGAGCGAGTGTTGCCCCTCCGGCTTGCTTATGTGTTTGTCAATGTCTGTGCCCTTACGGCGAGTTCTCTGTGATCGGTCCGAGGGAGGAATACAGCCACAAGCCTTGTTTTCCGATGGTTTCAGTCGATAAACCGATCTGTCCAGTCTTGCCAGTTGGAACTGCACTCTCCCTCTCATGTCCTCCCTCTCCTGAGTGTCCTGGAGGAAATAAATCCTCCCACGTGGCTGAGGAATTTGTAGAACACTTCTGTTTCTCCAATAAAATCTGTGTGTTGGAAAACTTCCCACTTGTAGGTTTTGTTATTCGCAGTGACTGCGAGTGTGATGGGTGAAGATGCGTCCCTGTGTGTGCCTGAAAATGTGTGCCGGGGCGGGGCTCTGAGCTCTGTGGTCTGGGGCATTGGTGGCAGGGGGTTGGTGGCAGGGGCGGGGTCTCCAGGCCAAGGCTGAAGTTCTCCCCTTGCTAAGGTAAGAGCTGGAGTAGGTGATCTGGCACCTTCCTTTGTGAAGTGATCCTTTTGGCCACCAGGAGAGAAGCACAAGTACGTGCCTGGAGGCTGTGGGCGTGGGGGGCACCTCCTGGTCCTGCTGAGGGTGAGGCGTAGGTGGGGTGGCCGGTACGCTTCTGCAGAACGGCAGCCCCGAAGTCCTGAAGCGCGAACCTGGGAGCAGTGAGCACACAGTTTTAACTCCTGGTGCTATCTGCTTTGGAATGCAATTCTGTTGCTTCTGAAGTGTTTCTCACTGTCCCACACTACCTTGTTTTATGAAATCTTAGTAAAGGCAGAATCCAGAAATGCAGGTCAGTGAAAGGGTATTTGTGACATTGTCCCTTAAAAGTATCAATATATTTTCCATCACTTGTATAAAATTTCCAATTAACCAAAATTCCAAGTTTTCAGTCAGCTTACCATGGCTTAAACATTCATCAAATCCCTTATTCTTGTGGCCATGAAGCATCCGCCCAGGAAAGGAGGGGAAGACTGTGATAGTCTGTCCTGACTGAAGATGTGCCCAGTGGGTCGGTTGTCACGGGTTTCTCCCTGGGATTTCATTAAGCTCTTGGGCTGCTCTATTCATGCTAATCAGTCTAGAGACCCTAAGCTGCAAAGTCTCACGTCCTGGCTGAGGGCTTTCCCAGGATGCAGAGGTCAGAGAAGCGCTTCTGTTCTATCGCAGCTGGAATTGATTTCCATACTGGCTCTTGCCCTCTATGTTCCAGGACGGGTATCCCATTAAGCTGCTCCCATCCACCTATGCTCATCCACACCCGCACCCAGTATAATGTCTTGATAACATGTGCCCCTGTCCCTAGGGATCCTCAGAAATGCTGTTCCAGGTGGTGCCTCCATTTCAACACCAACAGTCACTGGTGACCACAGAAGGCATTCTCAAGCTTTGATGGGAACCCAGCGATAGAGATCTGTCACAGTTCAGAGGAGGCTTCCAATGCCCAGACAGTTTCCCAGCTCCAGTTCCATCAGTCATCCATTATCGTCACAATGCCTAAGATCTGTGACAACTTCAGACTGCAGTTTGGGGGCATCATGTACATGACTGGGGACACCTAGTTGCTTGAGGGGGAACACAGCTGCTTGCCATCTGGATTAACTTTCAAAGAGATGGTTTAGACCCAGCCTAATTTCTGTTTAAGCAACAAGACAGGCTAAGGGAGCTTGGAAACAGCTTTGCTTACATGGGGCACTACCCTCAGAGAGAAAACCCAAGCAAGGGATGCAGGACATGAGTCCTGCCCAAGGTCAGTCAGAGCAAATTTGAGAAGAAGGGAACATATCTTTAGAGCCTCACTGCCTGTCCTTTAGGGACCTCCTTCCCTTCCCCTCTTCTCCCCTCCCTCTTCTTCATCCTCCTCTCCTTCCCCAACAAGGTATCTGGATACAGAGGGAATTTATGTAAGATGTTTGCAGAGAAAGGACGCACCTGTCCCTTTGCTCTCTCATGGTCTTTGGACTTCGGACGTTGGCCATTCCATAACTGATCTGGGCTGACTGTAGGCACACACCAGCCATGTTGGTGTCTGTACTTGCCGATGTGGCTTCCAGTAAGGAGATATGTGGGTTCGTCA